TCCAACGTCCGGATAGCACCCTCAATGTCCTCTTTTCCTTCCGCCCATCCCCCTGTTCCCTTTTGTTTCTCTCCTCCCAAATATTATATAAAGCAAGCTGTTAGAATTGAAAACTGTGGCTAGAATCGATTTTTTCCTGCTTTCTTTCTTTCACCTCAGCGGCAGATCTATCTACAAATAGACGTGGCGAAACGTAACATTTTTGCTCACAGAGTCGCGCGTGTTAGTGTTGGAGGGGCGGTGGGATAGGGTGTATCAGGTGTTCATTGTTGCACTGGGAACGATGTCTGAGACGCAGTCTTTCGCGACCTTTTCTAATAGTAACGATTTTGTTGTTTCGTCGACTAAGAACAATCGAAATTGTGATATAAATTTGGTAATATTGTTGAACAAGTCGCTGTATGTGTTTTAGAAGCATAGTGCATCAAGTGCATTGTGGCTTGAGGAACAATGCTTCATATACCGTTTGCGCTCACTGTTTTAATAAAAGTGATTTGTGGTTACGTTATCAGAAATGTTATGTCGACATATGTTGTGCTATAAAAGTATACATGTGTAAGCTTATATGTTGTTGTCGAATTGATACATCTACCGGGAATTTCAAGTTCCATGTGGAAACAGCTGGTTGTTTTAGTTGTCTCCGTCGTCGTCGTCGTCATCGTTGCATGAGGAATAATGCTCTCGACTTTGTATGTTCCCGTTAATTTGTGTTGATTCCACTGCTCGCGATTAAAATGTATTGTTGCCTTATGGTAACAGCAGCGCCGCGTGTAATATTACATGTATAATGTGCTGTGAATTTCAGTGCACCGCTATAGGCTTTCTGTGCATGGGGCGTTGGTTGCACAGATATCATGTCTCAGAATCTCAACTAATGTATGCGCTAACTGATGACTTTTCGGTACCACCCTCTTTTATACAAAAAAACCTACATTTTTTAATGTTTGATTTAGCTAACCATAGCATATTATGTTTTAAATCTGGGGATGAAATACTCCACCAAGAGTATCAGGTTGCACCACCAGTAACTAAGTTCGGGTACTTTATTTCGTGATTTCTTCCAACTCTAACTATTTCTGTGCGTGCACGTCATTGTATGTATCGTGAGTGTCAGTGAGTCAGGTGCAGCGAGATCTTGTGCAGAGAGTAGATTGAACTAATGGTGAAGATATCGTGTTTTCTGATCTGTCTTGTACCGGTAATGGATAAATGATTTCACAATTTGCGGTCATTATAGAAAGAAAAATAAAACCATGTGAAATATGCTCACCACAGTGCAACTGATGTGGTTTAGTATGTTGTGAATTTCATTTCTTCAGGGGTTACCACTTGCAGCACACTAGCAGATTTGTCTCAGAGACTAAAGTGTTCTGTATAAAACCAATGGTTTCAGAGTGATGCTATCATAAAGATATTGTGTAGACATGTTGCACATTTGGCATTGTAGTCTGCATCACGCGCAATTTCCAATGGGAGTGCTACCTGCCTGATTTGAGTAGTACAGGAAGAGGTGGCGATGTGGTAGTGTGTGACCCTTCTTTTTTTCTGGAAAAGGTGGAATCAAATATAACATTATCATGGCTGGCATCGAACATCACAAAGCCGGTAAGTTTTTACTTTTACACCTCCTACAAACAATGTCTTTACTTAAGTCTTAAAGCAATAACATCAGAGTCATTCTATAAGAGCCTTTGTCATTTTCTGAAGTTTTGAGAAAAAAAGATCTAGAGAAGGTGGTTGACAGGTTCTTTGTTATCAAACATTATTCTACCTTCCTTATTTCTCCTACATTTTACGTTTTTGTTACTCTCTTGTAACACCTATACTCTTTGGCACTTATGTGACCTTACCGTGTCGCAGGTGCCGTGAAACTGTTACCCCCCCCCCCAAAAAAAAAAAAGAAGAGACAAACGAGAACGAGAGCGACCAAATTAGAACTATGACGTGGGCACTTGTTATTACTCAATCATACATTAGGAAGAAAATAAGGGAAAAGAACGAAACTATACTATTGCACCACATTGCAGAGGTTTTACATCTTTTTCAACGCTCCAAGTTTATTTATGAGGCTGCACCTTTCAATTTATTGTCTATCTCGAATAGAACCGAATCAAATGGGAAAATTCGTATCAAGTGCTTTTCGTAAGGACATAAGGTCGGGCCGATGTGAGCCTGGGAGTTTCGTAGGCTAATCATTTAAAATACCGATGCCACCAAACCAGATCTATATCATTACTGAAAGACGCCCCTTGATGCCCCCCCCCC